TATGTATGTATATATATGTATGTGTATATATATGTATGTGTATATATATGTATGTGTATATATATATATGTGTGTATATATATGTATGTGTATATATATATATGTGTGTATATATATATATGTGTGTATATATATATATGTGTGTATATATATATATATATGTGTGTGTATTTTTTTAGGTTTTGTTTTTTCTTCCTGTTGCTAATAAATACTATTATTATGTTCTTAAAATTAGGATTGAGGAAATTGGGAAATTTAACTTCTAACTTATCACAAATCCTTAAGTTTAAAAAGCTGGGTATCTGAACTTAAACGGTTAACTGACATTTTTATTTCATCTCCCTAAATAAACAACAGAGTTCCTGTTTCAGTGCTTCTTACCATAATGTAACTTAATAAAATTCTGATTTGTTTATGTTCAGCCTGTGTTTTGTTACCCAGGCTGTGCATATTGTGTTTGCACAGTGAAGCAGAAATGTTCACCTTCTACATGGAAGCAATAAGGAGCTTAAGCTAACAGTAAGGTAAACATGTTTACGCGTTCTTTGCTACAAACTTTATGGCCACATCACATCAGTGCGAGTCTTAAGAGGCTGTCAGGTGAACACTTCTAGCTCTATCTTACACAACATCTGAGGAGGAAGTTCCCTTCATTGCCCGCTTGGGTTGTATAAAGCATCTGTCCGTGTCACGAGTGACACAGCCCAGGACCACCTGAGACAAACAGCATGTGCATTAGCCACATGTATCATCACATTAGATCAGCGAGCAGCTAAAAGAGCTTGCTAAGAGCCAGAGACATGTCACCCGTCCTATGTGTAAGGTGACTAAAGCTTAAGAGTAAACAGTGGTGTTATCTGTTTAAAGTAATGAGGTCTCTCTCGTCCAGCGCCGCTTCACCTTGATTCTGTCTGTAGAGGCCTCTGAAGCTCTCTCTGCTTTGCTGTCTTGATCTCATTTAAAAAGGCGCATTGTGTTAAAGAATGGAAAGCATGCAGATTATGTCTGTTATGTGCAAGAACTTAGAGGAGCTTATGGTGCGGGATTTCGAAGTGGGGGGAGCATGTTTGGATCACTGGATGGAAGGCTGGTGGGCTACTTAAATCTTAAACCTCAATCTTTTCTTTGTCTCAGGGTGTCAGCAAGCAATAAGAATGACCTCTGTGTACCAATCTAACATGAGTTCACATTTAACATATTTAGTAATAGCTAAATAATTCAAACATTAAAAGAGAGAGAGAGAGCAAAGCTTCCTAATTCTCCTGGTAAAATCTGATTTCGTGACTGATCGGGCCTTTAGGTGAATTAAAAAGACACCCCTTTCCCCCCTAATGATGTGGGCGGTGCTGCTGCTCCTTTTCCATTTGCTGCTTTGGGTGAGCTTATTGCCCCCTCCCTATTTCTCAGTGCGGTTAAATAGCACGGCGCGCCACTCCACTGGGTAGACACCCCACTTTGCAAAGAGGAAAGCCAACTAAATAAAAAGGCCTGAAAGGGGAAAAAAACAAAAAAACAAAACAAGAACAGCAGCACTTTAACATGTACTCAAACAAAATCGAAGGACCACGTAGAGGAAGATCTTTTGACTCTATGAACCTCGGCTTTGAAGAAAAACTGCTGAACAATGAGGTAAGAACTTCACAGAAAGAGAAGAAGGAGGAAGGTTTTATTATTCTATCTTAAAGAAACCCCTTTATCTTCGATCAAATCAATAGAAACAAACAAGATGAAGAACTTTTGCTTTGTTTTGTTTTTAAGTGACTTTTTTGGACAGTGGTGGGGAGATCTGTGCGGGTCATCTTATCGAATAAGCTTTCACTTTGTCGTCAGCGCAGATTAATTTAAGCCGTTTTGTTATACCGTAATTTACGTCAAAGAGTTAAGAGGGTTAAAGAAAGAGAGACATCTGAATTTGGTATGATAAAAGACACTTCAGTGCTCATGCTGAGCACCATTCGCAGACAGAGGAGATAAAAGATAAACCGATCAACCTGCAGTATGTGATGTCTCCAAGCACATGTAAGGGGAAAATAGAAAACGCTGACAGGTACTCCAGGACAATATCGCAGCTGCTTTAGACATGGAGATAAAACGAAAAACACACATGTTTAAACTGGAGTAATAGAAATCAACGACGTTTAAGGCAGATTTTACAGCGGAACACGTTACTAAATCCTATTAAAGTAAAAGCTGGACAAATTATACCCCCATGCATGCAAATGTGATCACACCTGTTTTAAAAAAATCTAACATTTTTTATGTTTCTCGTTTATACCCCTGGATTTAAAAAATATCGTATTTATTTCACAACTATAAAAAGTAAAGTATTTGATGAGGGGAAGCGATGTTCTCCCACTTAACAGCCTAAAAAACGTGCGCGCTGTACTGATTAAGCGCTTCCCTAACGTGTGGCGAGATTTCAGAGTGGAGGGGAGCTAATAATAGGCTTCCCCGCTCTCCAAATGAGATTGCTGTAAGGCGATTCTTTGAGACAGAGACAAGTTCATCTTCGTTAAACCGAGACGCAAAACGTTGACCTCGGGCAGCGTCCTGATCCAGACTCCATGCACTAATGCTTTCAGGGATACTACCGGCAAGGGCTCACCGAAAACTGGTGTGCCGCGCGGTCTACACCATGTACGAAGGGCGAAATGTGGTAGGAAATAATTTAACTGCATTTAATTGTCTCACGTGAGGGGTGATCCTTTTAATCCAGTCTAAACGTTGGACTTTGGCATTATGTGCCTATTGTTTGATGACAAATTCGAAAGTTTTTGGGGGGGAGCGCGGGTTAATGTTTTAAAAAATACCTCAATAAGCAGTATACAGGTAGAGTAAAGGAGAAGACTTTGGAGTCAATCAAAACAGATTAGTTATTCTGTGCTGTTGGCATCTTAACAGCCTCGCTGCTAAAATCTGAGGCAGGATTAAAATAATTTTCCCCTGGCGTGTGCAGCGCGCACAGGCACGCGTCAACGTGAGAGCGCTATCCGAGGTGCTGAACTGGACAAAGAAGTTGGTCAGCCTTAATCTGAGCCCTGCCTGTGCGCATGCACTGCACTTCCATTACTCATTTTTTACACCAGCGATGTCAAGAAAAAGCCAATGATTCCCTTTAGAGTAACAATATACCTGCCAGTGTATGTTTTAAAGACTGACTGACTGTCTGCAACTCTTTATATTTCTAGGATTATTATTGTTGTTATTTAGGATGGTTTTATAGTCTTAAGTAATTAGAAGCTCTGCATCAAGTCTGTGGATAAGTGCAATATGTAGACTTAATTATTATTTTAAAGCCAGTTTAGATTGGCTAGCAAAAGTTCATTTGCTCCACTGTTTTTTTCTCCCTATTATACACAACTGAATCTCTCTGTCTTTGTTGATCATTTTCAGATAAACAAGTCAACCTTCACCAAAATTGAAGAAAACAACGAAAAGAAGAATTCATCAGAGAAAGGGAGAGCGACAATCATCTTTTCCTTGAAGAATGAAGTTGGGGGACTTGTAAAGGCACTCAAACTCTTCCAGGTACATCCCCCAAACCCTGCTCCTTTTTACAGAATGACTTGATTGCGACACATTGTTAGCTTTGAAATGAATAAAGAATTCTTTTGTTTTATTCTCGCAGGAAAACCACGTGAACCTTGTACACATTGAGTCCAGGAAATCCAAAAGACGCAACTCTGAGTTTGAAATTTTTGTGGACTGTGACAGCAACCACGAGCAACTGAATGAAATCATCCAGCTGCTGCGGAAGCATGTGAATGTGGTGGATATGGAGCCTCCAGATAACTCCTGTCTACGCGAGGAAGGTGAGAAAGTAGTGAGTGAATACACTCCAGATGCTGAATTAAAGGTACAACATTAAATTTGAGCACCTTTTTTCTTCTGTTCTCAGATATGTATGAAGTACCCTGGTTCCCAAAGAAGATTTCAGACTTGGATAAGTGTGCTAACCGAGTCCTGATGTATGGATCTGAACTGGATGCTGACCATCCGGTACATTATCAACCCGCTGCCTCACTTCAGCAAACAAAACCAAACTCTCTTAAAATGAAGCATTCTTATATTTTTACGTTTCTCTTTATCAGGGTTTCAAGGACAATGTCTATCGGAAAAGGCGAAAGTATTTTGCAGATCTTGCCATGGCCTACAAACAGTAAGTTTTGATCTATTTAAATGTCTATTGTATTTTTAAAAAAATCATGATTCTTATGGAGTTTTTTCTGTCTTTTTCCAGTGGAGATCCCATTCCTCGTATTGAGTTCACACAGGAGGAAGTGAAGACTTGGGGTGTTGTGTACAGGGAGCTCAACAAGCTGTACCCTACCCACGCCTGCCGGGAATACTTGAAGAACTTGCCACTGCTGTCCAAATATTGTGGATGTCGGGAGGACAACATCCCTCAGCTGGAAGATGTGTCACGCTTCCTCAGGGGTAAATTATCAATTTTGATTAAAATATTCCTTTGATTTAAATCATTTTGTTCACTTTTAGCGGTGCAATCACTCAATTCAATATATTTTCACTATCTTTCTAGAACGTACTGGATTTACCATCAGGCCTGTGGCAGGTTACCTGTCCCCCCGTGACTTTCTTGCTGGTTTGGCATTCCGCGTTTTCCACTGCACCCAGTATGTGCGGCACAGCTCCGACCCCTTGTACACCCCTGAACCGTGAGTACTAGCCAACACTATATCTAAATATGTAATCTAAATGTTAATTTTGGTTTTAATATTTGGTTTTCTTTTATTATTAAGGGACACATGCCATGAGCTGCTGGGCCACGTCCCGCTGCTGGCAGAGCCCAGCTTTGCTCAGTTTTCTCAGGAGATTGGTCTCGCTTCACTTGGAGCCTCCGATGATTCAGTTCAAAAACTGGCCACTGTAAGAGTCACTGCTGCAATCTTATTTTCAAACAATATTTATGAAGATATTTCTTTTTCAAAATCCAACAAGGTCGTCCTAATTGCTTGTGTTCTTCTTCTGGGTTGCAGTGCTATTTCTTCACTGTGGAGTTTGGTCTATGCAAACAAGAGGGGCAGCTGCGAGCTTATGGAGCTGGACTTCTGTCATCTATCAGTGAGCTCAAGGTAAAGACATTCAAACAGGATGGTAGGATGGTACAGTGGGCACCTTTACCCAAAGAGCTTTAAAAACACAGACAGAATAGTCTTTTTACGTTACAAACTTGATCATATTCCACCTTAGGACACACAATAAATAATCTTTTTTTGTTGAGAAAATATAGATGCACATTTATTAAATGATCAACTTGTGTTTTCAACATCTCCACTGTGTCTCTCTCTGACAGCATGCGCTCTCTGGTAATGCAAGGATAATGCCTTTCGACCCCAAAATTACATCAAAGCAGGAATGCATCATCACAACGTTTCAGGATGTCTACTTTGTGTCAGATAGCTTTGAGGAAGCCAAAGTCAAAATGAGGTGAGCTTAATTGTAAAGACTGTGTTGTAAAGACTACAACACTCAGCATTTAACTTATACATTATAATATATAGGTAGACCCAGCAAGAATAGCTGTAAGCTTTTTAAGCTAAACTGCTGATAGCATATTATTTAATACTGTGTTTCAGGGAGTTTGCCAAGACCATCAAGCGTCCCTTCACGGTTCGATACAACCCCTACACCCAGAGTGTGGATGTGCTAAAAGACACTCCCAGCATCAACAGTGTGGTGGAGGAGCTGCGACACGAGCTTGACATCGTCGGTGACGCACTCAGCCGGCTGAACAAACACCTGGGTGTCTGACTGCGCACAGTTCACATGGAGTTACACTGACAGTCTGTCATCCCCGGCACTGCTGTAGAGACGTTGCTTGTGTGTTGTCCTTTGCCAGTAACATGAATGTGCGTCGTTTTTTTTTTTTGCAAAAATGTTCTGTCGTCTCCACTGCATGGTTTATATAGCTTACACAATTTACAGGTGCACTAGGTATGTTTAGACACTAACTTTAAGATATTTGACAAACCCAAAGAGCTGCTTAATCTGAGGTACTATTTGGCTTCTATATTCCAAACAGTTTATGTGCTTTGATGGTACTTCAGTTCACTTTTGAAACACTTCCAGCTGTTACAGACACCTCCAATTGTTATTTCTGCTTTTGTATATGATTGTGTGAGTTTTCTTTTCTTTTTTTTTGTAAATCATTTCATTCTTCTTCTTCATGTTTAATACTCCTCTCTTCAGTGAAATGTTTAAAATGTACCTTCTTTGTATTTGTCTTTTGGTGTGTGTGTGTGTGTAATATTCCTTTTTTGTGTGCTGTTGAGGGAAATTATGAAAGTGACACCTTTAACTAGCTGTTCTTATAAGAATGCTCTTGTGATTGATTATGATCGATTTGACCCATGTCAGCGATTACTTTACAGTGATGATTTTTAATACTTCCTCTTGAATTGAATTCAGTTGTAGAACTCCAGAAATCAAGACATTATTTTTCTACTGTAAAGAAATATAGAAATTAGAACTAGGTTATGAATCAAACAAAAAAAAAATTGAATAAAAAAGTCATTTTGTGTGTTTATAGCATGCCAAAACAGTTGTTTAATTGTTGATTTATTACTTTTATTAGTTTTTGTGGATGTAACTTTGTTATTGAACCCTGAGGATGCTGCTGCTGTTGATGATAGACATGCAAGATGATGGCAGTGAAGACTCTGAAAGTGATTATAACAATTATTTTGAGGCTGGAGTTTGCAAAATCTCAATAAAGTGTTGCAGAAAAAAATATGCCTTTGATTTGAGAGCCAGGACGCTTATTACCTAATGAAAAAGTCCAACTGGGAACAGAACTTTCCAAGATAGGTAGCAGAAAAATCAATAATGACTCTTAAACGCATTTCGTGGACACGTAAATGGCGTCATACAATTTCATTTTTATTATGTTGTTATTATTATATTATATTTATATTATTTATTTATACTTTGAGGATCTGATGAATGAAGAAAATGAGAAAGAGAGTTAGTGAATCTGGAAGTACAAAGGATTATTAAGGAGAAAGAGGATGAAGACTGGAAAGGTGCTAGGTCCAGATGATAAACGTGGAGATAAAGCACATGCCAGGGTGCAAATAGAGGAACCGCACCAGAGAAATATGTGAGGGTGGCGCAGGACATCTATGAGGACAGCAAGACAGTGGTGAGGTGTGGGTGGGATAACATCAGAGAATAGCCCTTGTTGTTTTCAGTGGTTGGTGGGCAGACTGACAGAGGTCAGGCAGGAGTCTCTGTGGACAATGATGTTTGCAGACAGCAGTATGATTTGTAGTGAGAGTAGAGCAGGTGGAAGACAGCCTGGAGAGATGGAGGTATGCTCTGGGGAGAAGAGGAATTAAAGTCACTAGAAGGAAGACAGAATAAATATGTGTGAACAGTGAAGATGCCAGGAGGAGAGGCAGCAAAGGTGGATGAGTTTGAATATCTGAGGTCAGTAATCCAACAGACAGAGCAGAAAACTTACTTTACTGCCCAGCTTAAGAAATTGGTCTGATTTAACACATCAAAACTATAGTTTCAAGAAATGACACACATAATGGTAGCTTATATTTAAAGGTGAATAAAATTAAAACTTAGGCAGCAGCATAATAGTGCTGCCCAGATTATTCTAAATTTGTCACCTGAAGAATTTGATCATTTAGCATTGAAGTTGTTTTTTTGTGAAGCTGTAGTCTCTTCTGCAGTGGCGTTACAATCGATACTGAAATATCGATTCCTCCGATACCAGACATTTATGATCTAGAATTGATTCTCATATTAAAATATCAACATTTTAGTGATTTGAGGTAAATTTGTAGTTTATGATTAACAAGAACACATTGGAGCGTAACTGTATTATTGGGATCCTAGGAACTACTTCCACTACTTCCACCTGTCGTGGTGATATGTGAAATACGGCTGTATAAATGCATCAGGGCTTATGTGTGTTTACTCTCTCAATCAGTGATAATGGGTGATAGTAAGGCAAGTCACGTGTGGAGCTATTTCAGCTCCACAAACAGCCCAAACGTGGTTTGGCAAAACCATAAATCGAACACAAACATTTAATCATAACACAGAATATGATGATGAGTTTATGTTGAGGTGAATAAAAAAATCCACCCATTATTTTACCAGATATTATGTATCTGTATGTTAGATATTGTTAGATATTACATTTCTACAAAGTCATAACTTAGTTTGTAACTTTTGCCACTCATATATCCGTTTCAAGCGCCTTCGCGACAGTGTCGCAAAGCATACTTGAGTGTTTAGCCCAGATACTCCATGGAAACACACGCACGGTTGGAGTTTTGTTTACATTCTTGGGTAAGTTTGTTATATTGAACAGTACACTGTAAAAGTCGCGTATATCTGGTTGTGTAATTCCTTTATTTAAATGCAAGGAACAAAGTGACTCTTCAATTGGAAACGCAGAAGACGTAGCACTTTTGCTAACGTTAGCTTAACTAGCGTCCAAACTTACTGTCTTTACAGGTGAGGCGACAAAAAAACAGATGTTAACATCTGGTTCACGGTCACCTGAGCACTGATAGTAGTTTTCGGTCTGTCATATACTTTTATTAAGCTGTGCTGTTATTGTCAGGGAGCCAACAGTTACGGGCAACTGAGCCAGGGACATGTGGAGGACCAGGCTTTGCCCCGGCTCTCTAACATTGCTGCCCTACAAAACAGCCCAGTCCGGGCTGTCAGCGGCGGTGGGGGACACTCCGTAGTTATTACCGGTACGTATCCTTTCGTCCTATATTAAACACAAACTTCAGCCCACCAGCGAATGATGTTTGTAGTCTGTTGTGGTATCGTGAGCAAGACCTTCATAAGTCACGTGGCGCCTCCTTCTGGCCAGTGAAATTAATTGTTTGTTTGTTTTTATGTTGATAATCTGTTAATGCAAAAATTATGAATGATCTAACAGCAAACGGTAGAAGCAAACTTCCACTCAGTTCAGTCTCGTTTGTTTAAGTAAATGTCTAGAGTGAGTGTACAGGTGTAACTGTCCCAAAAATAACACATCTAAGTAAAATCTTTGATTGTTTCCATGCTGGACAGAGAGTGGCCAGGTGTTTGTGTGTGGACAGAATAACAGAGGCCAGCTGGGACTTGGCCACAGTGGAGACATCGCAACTCTTCAGCACTGCCCCATCCTGAATCAGAGAGTCACAGACATCGCCTGTGGTTGGGATTTTACCCTTCTTCTCACTGGTGAGCAGTCAGCACCGTTTCCTACCAGGAATTTATCCTCATTTCTAGTTGTACTTGGTTTAAGGGTGATATTGCTAGCCAAACCACAGGTGTTTCTTTGGGGCAGGGATAATAGATCTTTTATGGCAATGTTAGTTTTTATTCTAATATAACATTTTATTATATTTGAATAATACAATAGATGAATTGCATATAAAACAAAATAATATAGCTGTGTTATATTAGAAATTTCATTATATTAGATAAATTTTTCTGAAAGTGCAGATAGAGTGGCTTGCAAAAGTATTCGGCCCCCTTGAACTTCTCCACATATTGTCACATTACAGCCACAAACATGAATCAATTTTATTGGAATTCCACGTAAGACCAATACAAAGTGGTGTACACTTAAGTGGAACAAAAATCATACATGATTCCAAACATTTTTTACAAATAACTGAAAAGTGGGGTGTGCGTTATTATTCAGCCCCGTTTGGTCTGAGTGCAGTCAGTTGCCCATAGACATTGCCTGATGAGTGCTAATGACTAAATAGAGTGCACCTGTGTGTAATCTAATGTCAGTACAAATACAGCTGCTCTGTGACAGCCTCAGAGGTTGTCTAAGAGAATATTGGGAGCAACAACACCATGAAGTCCAAAGGACACACCCCACTTTGCAGTTATTTATTTGTAAAAAACTGCAAAGTGGGGTGTGCGTAATTATTCAGCCCCCTGAGTCCATACTTTGTAGAACCACCTTTTGCTGCAATAACAGCTACCAGCTTTGCACATCTAGAGACTGAAATCCTTGCCCATTCTTCTTTGCAGCTCCAGCTCAGTCAGATTAGATAGACAGCGTTTGTGAACAGCAGTTTTCAGATCTTGCCACAGATTCTCGATTGGATTTAGATCTGGACTTTGACTGGGCCATTCTAACACATGGATATGTTTTGTTTTAAACCATTCCATTGTTGCCCTGGCTTTATGTTTAGGGTCGTTGTCCTGCTGGAAGGTGAACCTCCGCCCCAGTCTCAAGTCTTTTGCAGACTCCAAGAGGTTTTCTTCCAAGATTACCCTGTATTTGGCTTCATCCATCTTCCCATCAACTCTGACCAGCTTCCCTGTCCCTGCTGAAGATAAGCACCCCCAGAGCATGATGCTGCCACCACCATATTTGACAGTGGGGATGGCGTTCAGAGTGATGTGCAGTGTTAGTTTTCCGCCACACATAGCGTTTTGCATTTTGGTTTCATCTGACCAGAGCACCTTCTTCCACATGTTCGCTGTGTCCCCCACATGGCTTGTGGCAAACTGCAAACGGGACTTCTTATGGTTTTCTGTTAACAATGGCTTTCTTCTTGCCACTCTTCCATAAAGGCCAACTTTGTGCAGTGCACGACTAATAGTTGTCCTATGGACAGATTCCCCCACCTGAGCTGTAGATCTCTGCAGCTCGTCCAGAGTCACCATGGGCCTCTTGGCTGCATTTCTGATCAGCGCTCTTCTTGTTCGGCCTGTGAGTTTAGGTGGACGGCCTTGTCTTGGTAGGTTTACAGTTGTGCCATACTCCCATTTCTGAATGATCGCTTGAACAGTGCTCCGTGGGATGTTCAAGGCTTGGGAAATCTTTTTGTAGTCTAAGCCTGCTTTAAATTTCTCAATAACTTTATCCCTGACCTGTCTGGTGTGTTCTTTGGACTTCATGGTGTTGTTGCTCCCAATATTCTCTTAGACAACCTCTGAGGCTGTCACAGAGCAGCTGTATTTGTACTGACATTAGATTACACACAGGTGCACTCTATTTAGTCATTAGCACTCATCAGGCAATGTCTATGGGCAACTGACTGCACTCAGACCAAAGGGGGCTGAATAATAACGCAAATCCCACTTTTCAGTTATTTATTTGTAAAAAGAAATGTTTGGAATCATGTATGATTTCCGTTCCACTTCTCACGTGTACACCACTTTGTGTTGGTCTTTCAGGTGGAATTCCAATATATTGATTCATGTTTGTGGCTGTAATGTGATAAAATGTGGGAAAGTTCAAGGGGGCCGAATACTTTTGCAAGCCACTGTATATTATCCTTAGACCATTATGATACATGTGTTTCTAGAAAAAGGGTGGAAAAAAAACTAACTCACATTCATTGCTATATTGTCAAAAAAAAAAAACCCTACATATTTAACAGAATGGGAATAACGGAGGACACCTTAACTACTTTCCACTCATCCAAAAGCGTAATTTTTCAGTGTGTCTTAGTTAAAGGCATATTTCTTTTCTTGTTTTGGCACACTCTCAGACGGTGGGCAACTATTAGCATGTGGTTCCAATGCATTTGGGCAACTGGGTGTTGGACAGACTGTGACACACTCAGCAGATCTACTGGTTGTTGAGGTGAGAACACGATGGGGGTGCAGTTTTTATAAAGTAAAGTTTTTAATTTATTTTTTTTAAATATCCATTCAATACATCTTGAGTGATCTACATTAGTATAAATGATCTTTACTTACCTGCCATCTTAATCACTTTCATTAAGGGACATGTCATTGTGCTGTTTGTTGACAGAATCTGAAGGAGCCAGTAGTTAGTGTAGCAGCAGGACTCCGACACTCACTTGCTGTTACTGGTAAGGTAGCATTGTGAACGGCCCTCGTTTTTTTTTAACATCTGCCAAAGTGGTTACATGATTGGTTTTTTGCCTGTCTTTATGTTTCTTAGCTGTATTTATAATATATATATATATATATATTTACAGTGGGGCAAAAAAGTATTTAGTCAGCCACCGATTGTGCAAGTTCCCCCACTTAAAATGATGACAGAGGTCAGTAATTTGCACCACAGGTACACTTCAACTGTGAGAGACAGAATGTGAAAAAAAATCCATGAATTCACATGGTAGGATTTGTAAAGAATTTATTCGTAAATCAGGGTGGAAAATTAGTATTTGGTCACCTCAAACAAGGAAAATCTCTGGCTCTCACAGACCTGTAACGTCTTCTGTAAGAAGCTTTTCTGTCCCCCACTCGTTACCTGTATGAATGGCACCTGTTTGAACTCATCATCTGTATAAAAGACACCTGTCCACAGCCTCAAACAGTCAGACTCCAAACGCCGCCATGGTCAAGACCAATGTGTCCTGTAATGTGAATTCATGGATTTTTTTTCACATTCTGTCTCTCACAGTTGAAGTGTACCTCTGGTGCAAATTACTGACCTCTGTCATCATTTTAAGTGGGGGAACTTGCACAATCGGTGGCTGACTAAATACTTTTTTGCCCCACTGTATATAAAGTATGAACTTGCATGGGAATTAGAATGGATTACATTTCTGGACTGAATCAAATCTGGATCCTGAAAAATGGGATATCTTCCCAAATGCATATCAAATTGAAACTTTGGCTTGATGTTCTCAAGAAAATACCATAAACCAGTCTGCAACCAGATATCTTTCATCTCATAGGACTTAGTGCATGCATGGTGTGAAGGGAATTTTCAGTCTTGGTGGAGGTATGCACTCTGACTGCTCCTGTTTTTCATGTGAAGCTATAAATCCTGTAATTCTATTTGACTTTCAGGCTCAGGCTGTGTTTATCAGTGGGGAACTGGTCTTTTCAGTTATGCAAAGAGAGCATTCAGTCCACATGCTGTCCCATCTCACTTTAACTCTAAGGTGCCCTGTCTGGTACCAGGTAACGTAAGCTGTACTGAACATAAATAATTAATAATTTATTCTATTATTGGTGATTTGTAGATGTGACAGATATTTATGACCTTGTTGCAGGTCTGGATCAAAGAATATCACACCGGGTAACTGCAGGGTCAGCACACTGTGTGTGCCTTACAGGTAGGATGGTAGTGAGTTGCTTCAATATGTTCTGCAATAATAAGCTATGTATTTTGCACTGCTCATTCATAGGGACAATTTACACACATAAGCTCACTTCTTTATCATACATCAAGTCTGCCCTCTCTGATGTCCTGTAATTAGTTCACCAGAGCATCTCAATTGCTGTTCTGCTTTTTTGCTGCTGCTTGTGCTGAATGAAGAGTAATGCTGTCGCTGTCATGTGGGCAGGAGATGGCGATTTGTTTCTGTGGGGAAGCAACAAGCATGGTCAGCTGACCACCACAGAGCCCTTCCTGTCTTCTCCCACTCTTCTGAAGCGATCTCTGCTGGATGGAGAAAAAGTGATAAATGTGTGGAGCGGCTGGACTCATAATGTTGCTCAGACAGGTACTCGGGTCTGTGATGTTCAGTAGTTTTTACAGGATTTAGAGGACAGTTGCCCAAACTGAAAAAACAATCCCATTATCTGTTTCAGAGAGCGGGAGAGTGTTCACATGGGGAAGGGGAAATTATGGACAGCTGGGCCGTCAAATATCAGCCAGTGAGGACACAGAGCAGCAGCCAGCTGGCCCTGCGGCACAAGGTGGCACCCAGGAGGTTGGACTCCCTGCAGAGGTTGAAAACCTTTGTGGTGCAACACAGGTAGGAGTGTTTAGCACTTCGCCAGATGGCAGAACCTATAGCTGTGCTGCAATCAGTAACAATTAAATGTTTTCTTGACTTGTGTTTGGATTGTTGGTCTTGAGGATAGTGCTTTGTTGAAAATGCCAGTAGACGTCCAGCAGGAGGCAGCAGACAGTTACAGTTAAAGTAGCTGTTGATTGTTTAGTATAAGGCGAAGCATGTTTCCCCTGAACAGAAGGTTCTTAATGATTTGGATAATTATCTCTTATGTACAAAGCATACGCGCACTGTCATTATAGTTCAGCAGGGGAAAAAAACGACTTGTGTTTATCAGTGAAGGCAGTTTTCTCTACTCCCGTAAGGACAATTACATGTGAATGGGATTGTAGCAACTAACCTGTAGTCTAAATAGTGACAATATGGTCATTGCCAATGAAGCAAATGTTAGGGACAAACAAGGACAAGCGCTCCTTTCATCTTTCCACTGCGCACAGATCATTGCAACAACACATAAGGTGTCAAAGCTTTGTCACCTTGTGTGTTGAGTGTGAAGTAAGATGAATTTGCTGAGTGGGATATGAATCACTCAGGCCACACTACTTTGTTAAAGCACTGTACATATACACTGACTGGCCACTTTTTAGGTACATCTACCAACAGCCAATCACATGACACCAACTGATGTATGAAGACGTAGTCAGGACGATGTGCTAAGGTTCAAACTGAACATCTGAATGTGAAAGAAAGGTCATGTAAGTGACTTTGAATGTGACATGGCTGTTAGTGCCAGGAGGGAGCCATGTGAGCATTACTGATGGACAAATTTCAACCCGTCAGTGGTTCATGATCAGTGGGTCAGTTTCTGTTAATCACTTGTTTTCTTTGTCAAATAAAGTGCTACATGCAAAAGTCTATATTTTGCTACAAAAATGGGAATTCTGTACACTTATTTATTGGTTAAAGTGCAAACATACATGTAAATACAGTGAATAAGGAAAAAAACTGCGTTTGCACCTTTCTAACGAAGCTTAAAGTTGATATTTGTTATGGCTGCCTTTATTCTTTAACACTGCCTGAACTCTCTTAGGGAAGCTTTGTTGTAATTTCTGCAAGTAGTCTTCAGGAACAGTTCTCCAGGACCTTTGAAGGACTTTCAGAGTAACTGTCATTCTGTTCTGTTCCCACACTGCTTCAATAATGTTGAGGTCTGGGCAGAGGGGAGGCCAATCCATGACCGATGGTGTCCCTGTACATGAGCTCAGTTAATCACATGCCCATCTCTTGCATGTTTTTCTATCCATCTATGCTTTTACTGTTTTCAGGATCGTTGTCATTGTGAAAACTAAAGCTGTTGCTAATTAGATGCGTTCCAGATAGTTCTGCATGACAAATCAATTTTGACAAGAGCCACTGGCTAATGTGCACACCCAAGCCATGACACAACCTCCACTTTTCTTTTCTTTTTTTTTTTACAGATGGCTGCAAACACTCACTGTTGTACCTCTATCCTGACCTCCTCCATGCAAATTGACAGTGATTTGAACTTTGAAAGACCTTCAAAAAACCTGGAGAACTATTGCTCAAGACTGCTTGCAAGACAGATTGCAAGAAAGTCTCTTTGGAAAGAAAATATAAAGAAATGAGGGGTGGCTTAAGCCAGTACTTTAATTGCATTTAACAGCCATGCAGTGGACTGTGTCTCATATCTAGGATTCAATTAGCATTTAAGCATGTCCACTCAATTCTTGTCATACTTGTGAAGGGGGAAGCAGGAGAAAAGGCCATTAAAATCTAAAAGGTTTCGGTCAGCAAAGGGCAAGACTGTATAAGCATCCTCAAATGGCTGCATTAACTCCTCCAGCAAGCCCAGCAGTGGCTTTTAAGAGTTATGAATCAGTTGGGTCTCTGCTATAGTTTCAATTTACATTATGCGCTAAAGGGAATCGTATGCTGGAGTACCAAACGTATGTAAAGATGTGAAAAAAAAATCATTATTAAATTATCAAATTTTAAAATTAAATCTAAGTGGCTTTATCTTGTCATTTTATTTAATTTGTAAGGGAGAATGCGATTAATTCGATTGTCAGTATCATATGTCATTGAATATTACAGTCTTAAAATTGCACATTTGCTTTTCAACATGTATTTAAAAGTTATTTTCTCCACAGATTTGCTGTGGATCAGAACATAACCTTGCTACTGTAGGTGAGTGTGTTCTCTCAAAAATGTCCTTGCAGTTTCTTCACTTTTCTCCTAACTTATTATTCACATAATGCACAAGTGCACTCAACATTTCCATAGGAAACAAAAGCCTTTTATGAAAAATTAAAAGCAAAGTTTGAACTTACTGGGTTCTTTCAGTTCTCATGGCTGAAATGAGAGACATCCTCAAGGGCTTGAGGTGACTCTGGCTGTGTTTGCGTAAAGTACCGTAATGTAGAAGACACATCGGTGAGGCTAAACTATTTCAAGCTGTCCTCACCCCTGCTAAAAAGTTAGTAAGGGAGCTGTCTAATGCATTACAGTGTTAACAATTAATCCTTGTAAAGCTGCAGAGCATTTCTGAGGTCAGCTCATTGCTCAGTGGCTATTGCATGAGGATGTAATTACAGTGTGGATAGATGGATATCATTGACAGAAGCAATTACCCGAACAGGCCTGTAAAGGGGATGAATTAACCAGATGCCCATTTACAGGCAAGTTTTTCCAGTCATATGTTTGTAGAACGATCTCCCTTTGTCTGCTTAACCGCTGAACAGACGCCGCACACTCACATGCATCCCTCAAAGAGAACTGAACAAAGATAGACATGTCTGACTGCTTGTTTGCGATCGCTCATTAGATTAAATGTGCTTTTATTCTTGCCAGGCCTGCCAAAAGTCTCCTGCTTTTCTATAGTAACCAGCTAGGCATGTAAAAGGGTTTTTGGAAGTAAAATCTATCACATTAATTTTTGAACACTGACCCAGTTTTTTTTTTACATGAGCACGAATATAAATATCACAGATTATCACTGAAATACAGGCGCATGCTTCCATAAGAGAGGAAACTATGAACATCGGTGGTGTTTCTGCAAGCATCCATGCCATTCACTGGTGTTAATCTCACTAATTGATAGCGATAATGAATGTGCGATTCTAATTTGAATATGTGGAAATTGTCCATCATCCATAGTTCGCAAGAAGCACTTTGAAAAAGTTGAGTTATGGGCCGTGAAGGCAGAACTAGCAAATAGAGGTCTCATCTGAACCTCCAGCATCTCAATCTTCTGCCACGCTCACCTCTCTTCCTCCTCCTGTCTGACGTGTGGTGGCAGGAGCAATGAAATAGCAAAACAGGATTGGAAGCGCAGACCTGAGTGCTGCTATTTCGGGTGCTGAAGTAGGTCAGGCGGAAAGGAACGGAGAGCATTGCATGCTGCTTATGATATCTGTTGCCTGCTCATCCTTTGCTCATTAGAACCTGAGCAAGTTCTCCTGGTGTGTGAAAATCATCAGCGGTGGTCAGAGGTAGGGAGATGGGTCAAAGACTCTGTGGCCACAGCTCATCCAATCTGAGGAAAGATTTTTGGTTCATGTGAACATTTTTCCACTTAATGGGATTGTAGAAGCAGGAACACCTTAAATTAGAGCTGTATCTGTAGAATGATGCAAGTCACACTAAAAAAAAGGCAACCTCCGCAGACTGTGTCACTGTGGCGTTGTTATTTGGGTGTGAAATTTTAAACTGACAAATTTCAAAAACAAATAACAGCATTTGTTTGCATGCACAAATGGCCTTTTGGTTTGAGATTCCTTTTTTTTTTTTTATTATCCTTTTGTCGTGCAGAATATTATGCAGACACTTTGTTGCCATGGAAACACTGATGTGCTATACTCCAGTCAGTGAGCCCATGAATTAAGCACAGCACCAAAATAAAGATTTTTTTCTTCCCAATGAACCAAATGTTTCAACACATTTAGTCCAATAATACTTTCTGAACACTAAATCAAAGAAAAGGTGTCAGTCCAGTCGTAAATACATGCACTGTCTTTAAGACGGGCACTACATGCATGTTTGTAACGCATAAGCGGTTTCTGGCAAACTGTCACATTGGCATGAGCTGCTTGGCATGGCATCGAGGTCTGTGAACTGGTGAAAACATATGCGTCTTTCTGGCAAGCGCTGCGGCTTTTCGGGGACGAGCTGAAAACGCAGACAAAGACAAAGACAACCTCGCGATGAAACAAATGAAAAGATGACACGAAAGGCACACGACTGCAGTACGGGGAGAGCTTGAAGATGTGTTACCCTTGAGAAAGCAAGCTCGCTTCTGTTGTCATGGCAATGGAGCCTGTTAGGTAACTGTGTTGCCATGGCACGTGTCTCCTCGGTGATGCAGACCTGACCACACCCACCGATAGGCTCTCCAGCTGTGAAGAGCAGCGAGGCTTTGTTATTGACCAAGTGTCAGGGTGGGGAACAGGAGCTGTGTGTGTTTTCTTTTGCACCCTGTTTTTTTGTAATCCAGGATGCTGATTTTAGCCTACATTGTACACACTGTACTACAGCCCCCTCATTCTCTCTCCTGTCAGTTACACTGACCCATGATCCTTCTCCCTTTCAGGGGGAAGTCTCTTCTCGTGGGGCTGGAATGAACATGGAATGTGCGGAGACGGCTCGCAGGCCAACGTCTTTCATCCACAGCTCGTTCCTGGTCTAAGACCTGTTCTCATTGGCTGCGGAGCCGGACACTCCATGGCAGTTTGCGCTGCAACGACCGGCACAGAAAGAAATTCTGCACCACTCGAGTAACGCTGGAGCAGGGACATTTATTCTGCATGACAATCAGAGGCTATAAAAAGCGAATGCTTTGGGGAGTTAACACATTTGTGTTTTAGTGGTTTATCGGTGCCCTGTGAAACCCACGTGCGATCATTTTAAGTGCCCTTGACTCAACACTAACTTTCACATGTTAAAAGGCTACCTGAGCTACTTGAAGCGGTCACACTTTAATCTGCAGTTTGTCATAAATATCCTTGTATGGTTCTGTGATTTATGTTTCATGTGGCCATAATTTGTCTATGATGGACACGATGGGGTCAATGGCTTTGCAGGGTATGGCCACGCCTGTAGCTGCAACTCCACCTGACGTGTTTGCCTTCCTCAATGAAGCTGTTACAGGTCATATGAGGGATGGGCTAGACTAGTGTTACAGCTCCATCTTCTCATGTCAGGGGTTTTATTGCTGTGATCTTGAATGTCAGGAGGCAGTCAATCTCAGCAATCCATGGTGAAAAATTCTCTGTCATGTGATGTACCACTCGCACATACACACAACAGCATTTTATTTCCCATTTTTCTACTGGTCTATCAATTATTTATGCCTTTGCCCATCTGTGTCATATTCTTTGATTTTCTGTTTGTCTGATTTGCACCACTTTCATACTTCATTAATCTTGGAAGAAACTCATCCACTGGACATGACCCAACCTACATATTTATAAGGAGTAGACCTCCGCAGTGCAGCACCTGGATACCAACTGCAGTTGTTAAGGCAGTGCCTTTGAGAAAGGCAGTGAAGGTACTCAGAAAAGCTGATGCCGACTTTTCCGTGACTTTCTTTTATATGAAAATTTTTACTTTAAATGTTCATACAAGTTAAATGTGGAAACATTAAAAAATGTTAAAGTGCTTTTACCAGGATTATGTTCGGGATGGGAAAATAAATGGACACTCGCTGAAAAGTGATAATTTCTGTGGTTCTTTTTTATTTATCACTATTGTACAAGTCTGAACTGTATTGGTCAAAAAAGACACAAAAATCCCTAAACAACAAACCAATCAGAACGACCACTGAACACCTTATTGAGATAACTAACCACAAAATGCACGGTGTTCAAAACACACACTCTGAAATCGCACCAAATGCCACAAATTAGTTGCCTCTAAGTTGTGTAATTGATTCTGTTTCATGATAATAGCTTTCTTTCTTGCTTTCTGTCTTACATGTATTATAACTTGACCAGCACACAGTCCCCCCAGCTCTATTGACATATTCAGATCTGCTGTACCAGCCTGCACTCAGATCTCAGCAAGTGGTTGGCAGTGTGTTTGCAGTTGTTTGGTAAAAAGTTGGTCCCTTCTCACTAACTTTGTCTACACAAACAGTGGATCAGGACTCTGTATCTTTAATTAGGTTATGCTCGTTGCTTGCCTTTAGAAGCTGATCAGCACTGGGGTCGATGCTGCGTACACGTGCTTTCAAGTACTGAGCTGATGCTTGTTTTCAATGTGCTGGTGACTGATGGTTAATTTAAAAGAAAATGCATATTGTTTCATCGTCGTGTTGGTTAAGCTGTAATCCTGAATGGTAAGAAGAATTTACATAACAGAGGCACTTGTCCAGTATGATGAGGATAATGGTTTGGTATTAGTTAGTATTACATACCAATGTAGCAATTTGGATGTGTCCAAAAAAAATGATGAAGAGGTATAATCCAATTATACGTGATTGTCAATTAAACAATTATTTAAATGCCTGTGCTTTGATACGAGAATGCATGTTATATAGGAGCTGTCTTTGATAATCAAAGTACAACTGCATACCATCATTCAGTAAATAAAAATCTGTCATTTCGTTCCTACCTACCCTGCAAAACCAAGATTTGCATCACAAACTATTATTATTGTAACAGCACAACTTGCCATTTTAATGCCTCTTTAATACAAGGTAAGAGTGGTGTGTTTTTTAGTTTTTTTAAAGTTTTTTTTTAAAGCATGACATTATTATTACTATATTTTTTGTGGACATTATCTTTGATGCATGAAAACATATCGAAGGAATGTTAAAGGTTCACTGGTGCAAAACAGTGCAAAAGTCTACAAAGGTGTGACGATGACAGTGCAAAGTTAATGACTTGTTTTCAACGGTTTAGTCTGGCTGACGTGACGCGTGACAGGTTTTTGCTGAAGGGGGTTTGCGGTTTAAAATCGGAGCAACATTTCTTTTTGTTCACTTTTGGACAGAAGAAGCACACAAATATTTGATGATCACTCAAAAAACATTGGTACACACAACTTCAGCACACAAAAAGCATATTTACAGCACTGGCACACACCAAAAATAGGCACACAAATTACAGCACATTAACCAGTCACAGATACTGAGCTACATAAGGCTTGACAACAAAACGTCCTCTGTGCTACATCTATGCTGAGTTTTGTGATGTACAGGTTGTCACTGTCACACCCATTTAAAAATACTAATACACACAACAATGCTACAGCACTATCAGGTGGGTGATGGGCCGTTATGGGTCATACACATAGTGGTTGGTACACCATGGTTCATAACACAAACTGACTCTGTTGGTTGTCTGCTCCGGTGCTGTCGTTGGGTTTCTATAAACATATAAAAAAACAACAATAACAAAAATAAATTATTACACAAATTATGTATAATGGTGGAAATGATGGCGATGATGGCTACCTCTGCAGGTGCAGGGAGAGGTGAAATGACACTGGCTTGGAGAGTAAAGAAAATGTGCTCCGTTAGTTCTTCATGGTAAACATGGGTTTACCATGTTTTGGGTTTTTGTTCCCCATGCTTAGCGGAAGGCGTCAGACACCAATGTACTGTCTGTGTGCAGAGGTTAGACTCTGAGTCGGTTAATAAACATGCCCAATCATGCTGCGTTTGACAGGTTTATGTACAGTAGTTCAGTCATTGTCATGCGTTTTTTTATACTTTGCGTCATGCTCTCACAGTCGCCTCTTTTTTTTCTTCTCTTTTTTTTTAAAGCTCTCTTTGACCTGGACAGGGTCAAACAGCAGTTGGTAACACTAGCCGGACGCTAGTAGGAAAGGAAAGATGTATGTAGATGCATGTGCTGTTGAATAAAAACGGAGTCTAAACACTCATTGTGTATAAAATTTATTTCATGCAAGGACTTATATTTACATATTTTTATTTGAATACTTTTCTTTTGCATAAATGTAAAATACATGCATTTACCTTTCCCCAAGTAAACCCACAGCCCATGCTATGTCTCACTGTACTTTTTTTTTTCCTTCCCACCCCTCCACTTGAATTGCATGAGCATATAATTCACCTGCATCTCTTCACATCAAATCTTAACAAGTTGTTGTTGTTGTTTTTTTGTTTTTTAAATATATAACATCACTTAAATACCACAAGAGACATGACTCAAAAAATGTAAAACTCTGCTCATTCAGAATAAAAACAAAAACTAGTTGCTATAATTTGCCTATCTTCTTCTAGAAATGAACATTTCTGATTGGTCAACAAAACAAAAAATAAAGAGGAAAAGAAAAGAAGAAGAAATTTGTTAAAGTGCCCTGAAAAATTTGTGCATAATTATTGGGACAGTATCAATACATGTAACCGTAACAGTATTGATGTTTTAAATCAATAGACATACATACTGCACGAGTCATCGTGACATCTCCAACTGATCCTAACTCAATATATTTTTGCTCTGTGGAGTTGCCTTGTCCCCTTTACTTATATTTTGTGCTTTATTATACAAAAGACGTGGGGACTAATAAGTGATTTTTTAAGGTTTTCTTTTTTAGTGCTTCTTTTTTTTCTTTTTCTTTTTTGCTTGGTGCTATGTATCCCTACTAAAGGTTCAGTCCTAGTATGTGTTCAGTGGTGTAACAACAATATCCAAGAGGGCTATTTTTTTTAAAACTGTGATTAAGGGAACGAGGGTTTTGCAAAAGGTACAAGGTTCACCTACAAGGTTATAAATAAAGCTTTTGTTACACTGTTATGAGCATGGAATAAAGTGTAATGATGCCACACTGGGAGCACTTATGTTAATATCATGTCAATTTATTACTCGTTTTTACTTTGCCTCTCCAAAGAATGAAGGCACCGTTGTTTCGTAATTCATGAGTCCTGCCTTAATTTAGCAGCACAGCGGTATAGACGTGGTGGCAGTCTACTGATACCCTTTAAAAACTTGTAACTACCAGTAAATATATTTGTATAAAAACTATTTATGCTCATAACAGCATTAGTTGGCTTTATGACAGATTGTTCAAGTTAAATCACGCTATTTTTTTTTCTGTTGGAGGCCCCAGTCAAATAAATACAAGAAAATAAATATATGAATTTGGGGAAAGGCAAAGAATGGTGGCTACATAAAAACCTCTGCTATGACTGAGTCTCTTGTAAAGCTGTTTCAAAATGCATAAAAATGACAAAGCTTATGAAGCTTTTGAAAGAAAACCTTTTTTTTTTTCTCCTTACAGGTAATTGCAATACAGTTAGCTTCTTGTTGAACATAATTTCTCATGCAGTTCATGCAAATGAACAGTTTTAGTTCTGTTGACATTAGATGTATTCATCACTGGCATCATAGGAATTGTCATCATCTCCATATTGCATCGGACATCATGAACTGTATGTTCATTTTTTCTTTTCTAATGGCCACTCGGGTAACATTATCTGGACTGCACTTTCAGAATGACGTCTCTACTTTGCAACGTACAAAGCACTTAAGAGAAGTTCCCTTAACAGCTTTTGGATATGTTTTAAAAGCCTTGTATAATTAATGTCCAGCATATTATTGGCAGGGGTTACATCTTATGAAAATTTATTTCACAAAAAAAGTTGTTGAAAAACAAAAAACCAAAACCAAAAAAGCAAATGAGATAAGTTATTGGCAGAAGAGAATGAGAGATCAAAAGCAACAGAGCAACAGGCAATGATGTAAACACAAGGAAAAGAGTGTGGTTAGCCTGTGGTAAGAAGTAGAACGGTGCTTTGTCTGCAACTGAGGTGACCCATGCAGAGTGGCATGTGCCAATGTTTTCTAGTCTATGATATGATGACACACCCAAGGAGAACACTTG